TGGCTTGTCCATAAACGCTGGGAAGACCAAACTGTTTTCATGCTGTGTCCCTGACCAAGAAAAGGCATCTTTCGATATTAGAGGCTATCAATCCGGAGTAGGCAGTCTCAAATACCTCGGAGCGAGGTTGTTGCATCCTGAGAAGTGGCTGGTTATGGCGAAAAAGTCAGGAAAAATCGGAAAACTCATCTGCGCCAACTATACGTCTAGTCTCGACCGTTACATCGTAATCGACCTTTTTCATGGAGAGATATAGTAAGGACGCATACACGATATCTTTCAGGACGCGTCTGCACTGCATCATCCTCTGGTATGTTAACTACCCGGTATTTACGTCTGATGCATACCCATATTCCAGTGATATCCCTAGAAATTGTGACATTGGTCCGAGTCCTTAGAAGATAACTACCAATAAGTTTTGACAAGCTGGAAATGGTCCTTTAACCAACCGTTTATTCTTATATTCCTACTACTCGTAGGATGCCTTTAAGCTATTTAAAGTGCGCTCAGAGGGCATTCGTAGATGTATTTACCTCAATTATGGACTGCAAACACTAGATTGGTGTCATAACGCTACAAAAATCAGATTGCACCTACCGGAACAACTAAGACGATCATTTTGACATCAGGGCGGTCGAAAACAGCACCTGAAATACCTACATCTGTGATGGCACTTATGGATGAGGTAACCTACTGGTTAACGACATCACAAATTAACGTAGTCCGCCGGCGACAGACAAGCGAAATCGATCCTTGCGGGCTTATATAAATGTATGACTTCGATGCAAGTTGGGGTCCTTCAATGCAGTTTCAGACCAGAAGACACAAGTTCTGACTTATTAACCATCAACGGCCAATCATATACTACCCCCACAGGCTTACACCCGCGACCGACTGGTCTGAATTTAATAAAGTAACCATCGGGTCATGGGTTAGGACATTTGACTTCGCACAAACAGGGCGCAGGTTCGAGTCTCAGACGCTGCAATTTTGGGTATAGCTGGCTGCTGTCGACCATTCTAGTCTCATTTGTACTTTTGCCTATACTACTAATCACTGAGTGGCTGCTGACAAAGTACCTGGTCCCAGCTTTCTTCCATTACTCGCCTGCTAGTTTTGCACTGTACCAGACTGCCCATTCATATCGCAACCAACGTTTACATTAGTTCGACCTACTATGTACTACCTGTTCGCGCACTAATTTCCCAGGGACAATAACCTCTCAGGTTGACAGTCCTACTCCCTTCATAGGAGACCGCTTTCCGTTTAGATCGGTAAAGAAGGGTCCACAGACTCAAAACAACGGAAACGGTGTGAGGGTGGGCGGCAACTTAACCATGTTCATGAGGCTAAGGGTGACTGTACGTGACCCTGTCCTGACCATCAGTCCATGCAATTTAAATTCCCGCATCCATGAGTAGCACGCGGACATTATACATGCTATTTCAATCAGCAGGTAGTCCGAAGGTACCAAGCGTCCACTACCCCTCTCCAAAGTTGACGTCTCATGCGGTTAAAAACACTAATTCTTTGCCGCAAACCTGCCTCTTAAGAAGCTCCACTTAGACTTCTTGAGTATGCTTTACAAGGGAGAGGAAGCTAGTGATTACTGATCCCAAGTTAACAGGCTTCTTATTTTTACCACATCTAGACTCGAAGCCCAAACGTCATACTGGATGAGAGACCTCGAATCGGCTAGCTAAACGATCTGAAGCCGAACTGACGGTTCCAGTACGACAGAAAGGTATTTAACCATCACAGATTCGAAATTTCTTGCACTGATTCGTCTTAAATAAACTTCCACGCAATGCACTACAAAACTACAGTCAGTGTGTTGTATGAAACATGCTCGGAGAGCCGGCTACTCCCTCGCAAAACACATGAACACGACGCGTTTGGGAACTTGGCGAAATAAGTCGCAAAACTACACACGTGAGTTATTTCATGGTAAGTCTGGTCCTTCAAGATGGCATGGACAACACACCAGAGCAATTCATTAGGGTTGCAACGAAGGAAAACGAAATCGTAAACGAGCGTCGGGTAAGTCAGTAAGTGTAAGACAAAACGGAGACTGCCTCAGGTATCAGAAGAAAGTTGGCAGCAGTATGGCCGAAGTCGAAATTCCGTAGACATATTTGCCACTTAATAGCATATTAAGTTAAATTATGGCTCGTTAAAACCCATTTCTTGGCACAAATACAAAGAAAAGATTAAAGCAAGATAATTTGGAACACACAATCGGACACACAGAAATACCAAAACACAAGTAAAGGCAACTTGACTGAGTCTGTCACTACGTTTTGTTCCTGAGAAGAAGTGAAACCGTAAAATCGTTTCTAGTCTAACTTGTAGGGGAAAGTCCCCTCTTCCACTTCATCGGTCCACTTTTCCACCTAACGCAAATATTAGATGAAAAAGAAAATACCAGAAACACTGGACATAATTCCTTGAAGGCGAACTTAAAATAGTTGCAAGGTTTGTAATCTTCACCGTACATGTTGTTGCACCTGTGAAAGTCGATGAAATTTTGGAGACAATTTCTAAAGATATGCTTAAGACACAAGCAAGTCTACTTAGATTGGTTAACATTTGGAAAACGAGGATCATGTGGAACAGTTCCCAGGTAACTGTAGTCGCCTGTTTCTTTGGCTTTAATAGATTTTTCACGGAAGTCTTCCATGTCAACCATTTTGGAAGTCAAATTGTCAGCGTCAAGCAGATAAAACCCAAAAACCAAACAAAGCGTATTCTTATAGGGTTTATCAATCTAAGGTTTCGTGTATCAGGACTGGAAGATTCACGTCACATTTGCAATTAATTGCATAGCGGAAATTAACCAACTTTTTAATTGAGTTGTCTCTATCCTATCATCATATTTTGAACAAGATCTCCCATCATTCAACCAGCAAAATGATAATTCAATCCTACCGATAATCTATCGTAGTCCACAGCGGACTACGAATCCCCCTCATATGTATTCATAAGCCGAAGATGTTAAAGTTACCAAAAACTACTTGCTCCATGTAACGAAACTGGAATTAGCAATTTAATGTGTGAGTGCGTAGACGGCCCTATCGGGAAAAAAACTTTGGACGGAAATAAAATTTTCCTACAGTGCGCAGTTAAAATGCACAAATTACTAATATTGTAGGCAGACATTTTCCTCATAGGACAATATATCCATCATTAAAAAATTGTTAGGGCCCGGCAAACCGACACAAATGCACTCTAGATCACCGGCCCGTTCACATACAGTGCGTGTGACGACCTCTGCCAGCACAACCCCCGTTTACCCCCTCGTAGGTCGGGTGGAAAATGGGGGTAAACGGGGCTATACCCCCACATAGGATGGGCTCAGGACGGGGATTTCAATCCGTTTACCCTCATCCTGGAAAAAATTTTCGCAGCATGCCGCCTTACCATAATCCTTTTTAGCCCCATTTCCCTCCACCCCCAACCCCGCCCCCGATGGTTTTTTCGGGAAAGCACAAGGCGCGCAGTTTGGGATATGGATAATTTATTGAAAAAAATCTTTGTGGAAAATAATATGTACAGACACCTTTCAGATCGTTTACTATTCATTCATTGAATTGTCATGATATTGTGAATAGGTTGTTTCACATATAGAAGGGTCCTGATATTGCGAAGAGCCTGCTTCACATTCGTCATCATCGGC